AAGATTTTTTTAAAAATTTATTTATTTATTTCTTCCAAGGAGAGTAGGGAGGAAAGAGAGGCAAGCACCCTCAGCAGGGTCTTCACATCATCTACCTGTAGGCTTAGCCAGCCAGGGTGACACGTACCTAGGGCTGCCAGGGGGTGCCTTCCCTGTGGTCTGGTTGTGTTCGCACCACAACACTGTCTGGCCCCTAATTTTTAGCTTCTGTGACATGTACAATGTACGTGCTTAAAGTTAACTATGCTATCTTCAGTATCGTATATGGCATATGTTATATGCATAGGGTGTACTACAGTGTATAGTTTTATACTGTGTCGTTTTCTCACACTTAATTTTCTTTTCTTTTTAATTTGCCAGAGAGAGAGGGAAAAGGAGAAAACAGCCCTTAAGGGGCCCAGTCATACCACGTCCCATCTCTGTTTCTCACCCTTGTCTAGATTGTGGGCATCCACGAACATGTGCCTGCATGTTTTCAAGCCACCCAGGCCAAGTTTGAACCTCATGGTTCACCATATGGGATCCAACTGCCATAACCATGAGACCAGAGTCAGCCCACACACTTAATTTTCTATTTTAATATTGGAGACTTTTTTTTTCTGTTTTTTGAGGTTTTTGTTTTAGGATGCATGTACTCACCAGAGAAAGAGAGACAGAGACAGTGAGAGGGAAAATGAGATATCATCTCTCAGTGGGGATGACCATGCAGCAATCCTTTCTCCTCCATTCTCCTCCCCAGATCTTGGGCACACATGCCCGGCATGATTTTCAAGTCGCTGGATCCAGGAACTAGGACCACGGTTGGCCATGTGGAATCCAGCAGCGTAACAGCTACGCCATCTGCTTGCCCAATATTGGAGAATTTCAGAAGTAACTTTTTTTTTTAGAGAGAGGTGTTTTTGTTGTTGTTGTTGTTTTTGCTATAGGGCACGTGCACTTGCCAGAGAGAGAGACACACAGAAAGTGAGAAATTACCCCCCAGGGGAGATAGCCACAACGAAATCCCTTCTCTTTCATGCTCCTCTCGGGATCTTGGGCACACACGCACACATGCCTGGCGTCAGTTTAAGTCACCAGGTCCAGTACTCGAACCGCGGTCAACTACGTGTGGGAGTCCAGCGACATAGCCATTACGCTAACTGCTGGTCCCAGAAGTAACTTTTAATCATACTCTTAAACAACATCTTGCTTGTCTCCTTGTGCTCGCGTATTTGACATTTGTTATTCCTTTAGTTCAGACATTTTTATTTCTTGTCAATCACCTGAGTGTGAAATGATAACCTAGTTTGCTTTGTTTTTTTTTTTTTAAGAATTATTTATTTTATATTATTATTATTTTTCAAACTGACCAGAGGAAGAGAGAAAGGGAAAGTGAGAAAGTAAGCTCCCAAGCTCAAGGCTTGAGATGCAGTCCAGCACGTGGGAGTTCAGCACCTTGACCGTCATGCCCCTGCTGGCCTCAGTACCTAGTTATTTCTAAATTTCTATTTCCTTGTGTCCCAGTAACTGTGGACATCTGTCCCAGTGTTTCTTCGTTCTCTTGGTTCCTTCACTTCTAAGTTGCTTATCCATGCTCTTTGCCCATTTCATGTTGACCATTTGACTTTTTCTTAATCGTGCTGTAGGAATGACCTGTTCTTTGGTGCCATGTGCACTACAGGTAGCATCTCCTATCTGCAGCTGTCAGCTTCTTCATGAGTTCATCATTATTCAGTTTTAAAACTGGACATAGTTAAATGCATCAATATTTTCTTTCATATTTTAAGAAATTTCCACCCCAGGGCCGTAAAAAATACTCTTACATTTTATCTAAAATGTTTTAAAGTTTTGCATTTTACAGTTATGTTATAAGCCACGGTAATTGATTTTGTGTAGAGGACGAGGCAGAGATTAGGTCAATCTTGCTAATTGGTTGACCAGTTGACTCATCAGCACAACCCACAAGCCATCATTACCTAGTCAGTGAGATCCTCATTCTGTGCAAGCTTTATAAACACTCCGGTCAGTTTCTGATCCTCTGCTCTGTCCCACTGCTCTCGTCTCCCCTTGTGCCAAAACTGCAAGCAATGTATGGAATTACAATGATTTAAATGTTTTACTTGTTGTGGTTTATGGTAGGGCAAGGAACCTCCCTCATTTTTATTTTTCAACATTGTCTTGACTGGAGCTAGCAGATGGCATAGCGGTTACATCACTGGACTCCCACATGACAGATTATGGTCCGAGTCCTAGACCTGATAGGCTTGAAACTCATGATGGGCACATGTACATGTGTGCCCAAGATCCCAGGAGGAGAATGGAGGAGAAGGGATTGTGGTGTGACCATCCCTCTGGGGGGGTGATTTCTCACTTTCCCTCTCACTGTCTCTGTGTGTGTGTCTCTCTCTCCCTGGTGCAGACACATCCCTAAGTCAAAAACCTCTAAAAAAGAAAAATACTGTCTTGACTAACTATGGCTCTTTGCCCTTCCAATTAAAAAATTAGAAATTAGGTTGCCCAGTTCCCTCAACAAATTAGATAGAATTTTTATCAGAAAGAAACTGAATAAATTCATAGATTTATTTGGGGAAAATGTAAAATCTTCCCATCTATGAACATTGTCTCTCGCTATTCATTTCTGACTCCATGTGGACCAGTACATGTTGGTCCTCATGACCGTCACACACATGGTCAAGTACCGGATGTCCTGGGTACCACATGTTCCCTTTGCAGACTCTGTTGTTAAAAATTATAGTTACTAATCGCTGCTAAGCTTTGGAAATTCAGTTCATTTTTGTATAAAGATTTTCTGTTCAGGAGGCATGGTGAACTCTCACTAGTTTTTCCCATTTGTAAGTTTTTGTGGATTTCCTAGGCATGCATAGATGGATCAGCCGTGGTTATAGGTGTTTCTCTTGCAAAATGACTGGTGTTCCCTCCAGTGCCATTTTCCTGCAGATGTGTGACCAACTCCCCACACCCCCAAAACACACACACACACACACACACACACACACTCACTGCTTCTGGGCTGGGAGCATTTGGAGCATCTGAGGCCTCCTTGCCAAGGACACTAAGAACTGTGGCTTTCGTACATGTATCCTATAACCATGCACACCCTTGTAACAGGGCTGTAACGAGAAATGGCTCTTGTCATGATGAGACTGTGGCTGGGATGGCTCGGGCCCCTGCATGCCCTTAGCCTCATTCCCCTCATGTACCTTGAGGGGTCTGGGTGGAAGATATGGATAGAAAAGGACTCACACCAGTGACCCACCTGGTGCTGCCACCAGGCCACTTCCCAACTTCTGTCCTCTGCACAGCTTAAGCAAGACAGGGCCAAGGTCTGGCCTGATGGGTGGGTCCATACTCGGGAGCCGTGGCCAGCGCAGAGTGGGCAAGGTGGCTGTAACCCCGATCTCAGGAAGGAACAAGTGTTCAGCATAATCCTATGAAACTAACAACAAGGCTCCATCTTGCCTCACCTGTTTCTGGTTTTGGCTCAGTTCCCACTCCGTGTGGAATGGATGTGCTGTGTCCTTGCTGTTCCACACCTTTAAGGAGAGGTTTCTAGCATTTCATCTCTGGCTTCCCTTCCATTTCTAGTTTTCTGAGAGTTATCTCTAGAATGGGTGTTGAATTGTATCAGATACTTTTTCAGCATCTATCTATATAATCGCTTGATTTTCTTTTCTTTTAGGTTTTGGCCATAGGACACATACACTCACCGGAGAGAGACAGAGAGAGGAAAAGTGAGAAATCAGCCCTCCCCAGGGCGGGGGTAGCCATGTCAAGCTCCCTTCTCCAGTCTTCTCTTGCGATTTTGGGCATGCATACGCATCTGATGTGTTGGGGCTTGTTTTGTTTTTGTTTTTGTTTCTCCTTTTATTTATTTATTTTGAGAGAAATTTTTTGCTGTAGAGCATGTCCATTTGCCAGAGACACAGAGAGAAAGTGAGTAATCACTCCTGAGGATGGAGGGCCACACTGCAATCCCTTCTCCTCCATTCCATTCTTGGGATTTGGGGTGTATATGTACATACACACTGCGTGAGTTTCAAGCCACCGGGTCCAAGACTCAAACTGTGGTTGGCCATGTGGAAATCAGTGCCTTTGCCACAATGCCACCTGCTGGCCCTAGTCATCTGATTTTCTTCCTTTAAAATGTTAATATTGTCAGTTATATAAGTTTTTTTATTTTTAAATCATCCTTGTATCCATTCTTGGTATAAACTATATTTCATTATGATCTTTAAAATATGTTCCTAGGGCCAGCAGGTGGCATAGTGGTTAGGTCACTGGACTCCCACATGGTTAACCGTGGTTTGGTTCCAGACCTGGTGGCTTGAAACACACTAGGTGTGTATGTGTGCGTGCCCAAAATCCCAAGAGGAGAATGGAAGAGAAGGGATTACTCTGTGGCCAGCCCCCTTTGTGGGTGATTTCTTGTTTTCTGTCTCTCTGTCTCTCTCTGTCTTTCTGGTGAGAGCACATGCCCTCTATCAAAAAGCTCTCTCAAAAAAATATGTGTTCCCAGATTTGGCTTGTTAATATGTATTGTGAATTATGTAGGTATATTAAAACAGAGATTAGCCTATGTTTTTCCTCTTTTCATACGAATTTGTGTGCTTTTGGTCTGAAGAGTGTGTAAGTCTCATAGTTAGACATAGTCCCTCTTTACCCATTTTTCTGTTCTCTAGAGAAGCTAGTATAAGATCAGGATTGTAGGGGTCAGCAGGTGGTATGGTGGTTAAGTCGCTAGACATTCCCACATGGCCAACTATGGTTCAAGTCCCAGACCTGGTGATTTGCTTTCTCATTTTCTTTCTCTCTCTCTATCTGGTCAAAATTTAAAAAGAAAAATGAATGAGTAAATAAAATAAAAATTTAAAAAGATTGGGACTGTCAGTTTATTGCATGTCCAATAAAACATTTAGGAGATATGGTTATCTTAGAACATCTCCAAAGAACAGCCCAGCAAACCTTTCCTAACACGCCCGCCCGCCCGTGTCCTCCCCCAGGTGAGCATCTGTCTGGAATGCAATAGCAGCAAACTGCGGGGACTGAAACGGAAATGGATCCGCTGCTCAGCCCAAGCCACCGTCTTACATCTAAAGAAGTTCATCGCCAAAAAACTCAACCTTTCGTCTTTCAACGAGGTAGTGGTTGAACCACAAACGGAAAATAGAGCAAGTCGTTTCTTATTTGTAAAGTGATACATCTAGAATTCTTTGTTTTGTTTTTATCTTTTTTACAACTTGGATATTTTTTAGTGGGGGGGGATCTGTTTTACTTGCCTTGCCAGGTAGCTCATAGGAAGCAGGAGTGGGGACTATGAAGAGCCAGAGACAGTGAATTTGGGGAACTCATTATTAGTAGAAGAGAGAACTGTGTGTGTGTGTGTGTGTGTGTGTGTGTGTGTGTTGGTGTGTGTGTGTTGGGGGGGAATAGGTAATGAAATTGTTTTAGAATAGGTTGTTTCATCACAAAAAGGAATTTTGTTCTTTTTCTTTTTTTTTTTTTGAAAGAGAGATATTTGCTAAAGGATGTGCGTGCTCACTAGAGAGACAGAAAGCCAGAAATCACCCCCCAGGGGGGATGGCCAGGCTGCAATCCCTTCTCCTCCATTCCCCTCTTGGGATTTTGGGCATGCACGCACACACACCCAGCATGAGTTTTAAGCCACCAGGTCCAGGACTTGAACCATGGTCAGCTACGTGGGATTCCAGCAATATAATCTGCTGGTCCCAGGAATTCTGTTCTTTAATTTCACAAATGGATGGATGGGTCAGTAGATTGAGGGGAGGATAGTGAATGAACAGATGGATAGATAGAAAGATGCTTTCAAATTGTGATAAATAGAAGGAATAAAATAAAACCTGGTGACCTGCTGGTATAGTGTGGGGTTGGTGGCTGTTAAGCCGTATGAGTACATGAGCTCTGTCTGAAGCTGTGACACTTCTGTGAAGATGGTACTTGTCATCAAGAGCCAGCTCTGCACAGATGAGAGAAGTCTTTGGAGGGCCTTAAGGAGGGTACCTTGTTTGAAGTATAGTTTGTTTTGTTTTATTTTTTTTAAGTTTTTTTTTTTTTCCCTTAGACTGTACACTCATTGGAGAGTGAGACAGAGACAATAAAAGAGAAAGTGAGTAATCAACCCCTAGGGGGGAATGGCCACACCGCAATCCCTTCTCCTCTGTTCTCCTCCTGGGATCTTGGGCATGCACACACGCACCTGGCCTGATTTTCAGGTCACCGAGTCTGGAGTTAAACCACATTCTGCCAGGTGGGAGTCCAGCAACGGAACCCTGCACCATCAGCTGGCCCTGAAAAATAGTTTTAAAAGATTCCTCAGGAAAAAAAAGAAAAAAAAGATTCCTTGGGATGTATGGAAAGTGGATTTGGGGGCGCAGAAATGGAAGCAAGAGAGGCTAATGGTCAGAATCCCAGGAGAGAAGGCCCAGGGGAGCTGCAGTGAACATGGAGAAGTGCACAGATTTGGAGAGGTCAGTGGGTTGAATAGTGGCCTCCCAAGAGATAACCCACATCCTGACTCCCAGAACCTTGGAACATGACCTTCTTTGGAAGAAGGATCTTTGCAGCTGTATCTTGAGATGGAGTAATCCTGGATTATCTGGGTAGACCTAAATCCAGTGGCGAGAGTTTTTAGAAGAATGAGGCAGACAAAGATGTGAGGCACAGACATGAGAGAGGAAGAGGCTGTCTGGAGACAGAAGCAGAGAGTGCAGTGATGCAGCTGTAAACCAAGGAACACTGGTGCCATCAGAAGCTGCAAGAGGGACCAACAATTGGCGTAATGGCTACGTTGCTGGACTCCCATGTAGCCGACCGCAGTTCGAGCCCTGGACCTGGTGGCTTAAACTCATGCCGAGCACGTGTGCGTGCATGCCCAAGATCCCGAGAGATAGAATGGGGGAGAAGCAGGAACCAGCAGTTAGCATAATGGCTATGTCGCTGGACTCCCACGTAGTTGACCGCGGTTTGCGTCCCGGAACTGGTGGCTTAGAACTCACGCCGGGCACATGTGCGTGCGTGCCCAAGATCCCAAGAGGAGAATGGAGGAGAAGGGATTGCGGCATGACCATCCCCCCTGGGGGGTGATTTCTCGCTTTCTGTCTCTATGTCTCTCTCTCTCTGGCGAGCGCACGTGCCCTATAGCAAAAACCTCTCAAAAAAAAACAAGCTACAGGAGAAGAGGAAGGATTTTTTTTTCTTTTTTCTTTTTGTTTTATTTTATTTTATTTTATTTTTTGCCATAGGGCACATGCACTCTCTAGAGAGAGGCACAGAGAGAAAAAGTAAGAAATTACCCCCTGGGGTGATGACCACACCACAATACCTTCTCCTCTTGGGATTTGGGGCACACACACACACACATGCCTGGTGTGATTTTCAAGACTCTGGGTCTGAGACTTGAACCATGGTTGGCCATTTAGGAGTCCAGGGCCTTAGCTAATATGCCACTCGTTGACTCCAGAAAGGACCCTTTATGCTGTAGTCTAAATGTGTCCCCTAAGATTCATGGATAAGATATTTGAGGACCAGCTTCATGGCCTGCTTGCTAAGGGAACCATATCCCACATGGCCAACTGGCTTGAATCCCAGCTCCAGCAGCTTTAAAAATATACCAGGCACATGTGTATGCATGCCCCAAGTCCCAACAGGATGGAGAAATGAAGGAATTGCAGTATAACTGTGTTCCATTTAAGAGTGCTTTCTCCCTCTTCCTTTCTCTGTCTCTTTCTCTGGTGAGCACACATACACTTTGGCAAATTAAAAGAAGAAGGAACTTGAGACCAGCAGTTAGCATACTGGCTATGTCACTGGACTCCCATGTAGTCGACCGCGGTTCGAGTCCTGGACCCGGTGGCCTGAAC